CTCCTGGGCTCAAGTGAGTCTCCTGCCTCTGCCTCCCAGGAAGCTGTGACTACAGGCGCCTGCCACACACCTGGCTGTTTTTCAGTTGCAGCCATCATTGTTGTTTGGCAGGCCCAGGCTGGATTCGAACCCGCCAGCTCAGGTGTATGTGGCTAGCGCCTTAGCCATTTGAGCCACAAGTGCCAAGCCTTAAGATAGACTCTTAAAGTCAGTAGTCCTTTTTTTTTTTTTTTTTTTGGCCAGGGTTGGGTTTGAACCCACCACCTCCGGCATATGGGGCCAGCACCCTACCCTTTTGAGCCACAGATGCCACCCAAAGTCAGTAGTTTTATAAATAGAAAGTACAATAAAAATATACACAACAGAGAGAGGGGGAAAGCTAGCATAGTTCAATTATAGCCAGATACTATTCCCTGGCAAGATTCTAAACCTGAGATCTGTTCACTCTTTTAAAAAGGGAAAAGAGAAAGTGGTATTAAAGATCAAAGACATGCTCACCCCAAATGCAAACTTAATCTTGGTCATAATCAGAAAGTTAAAAGAGCACTGAAGAGAATAACTTTCTTACTATGCGATTCAAGGTCTAACACTGGGATCTGGTACCACCTAAAGCAGTGATTCTCCACCTGGGCAAGTTTTCCCCCCAGAGGATACATAACAATGTCTAAAGACACTTTTGGGGGTTACAACTTACTTGGTGCTGCCGGCATCTAGCTGGTAGAAATCAGGGATACTGTTAAATATTCTCCAATCCCTCACTACAAAGAATGACCCAACTCCAAATTCCAGTAGTACTGAAGTCAAGAGACCTTGACCAAAAATCATCACTTTCCTGCTCCGGGTTTTAACAACTCTAGGGGCGGGGACTGCCTTACTTGGGAAGGAAGGTGCGATGGCCTGCACAGTGGCGGTGGAAGAGAGCATAGCACATCACTATAACAACCAGATCAGGACACTGATGGAAGAGGACCCTGACAAATACGAGGAACTTCTTCAGGTATTTGACTATCTTCCGGAAAGGGGCTGTTCAAGGAGAAAATGGGCAGATATGTACATGGGTAAAAAGACAAAATATAAGAGAATATTAGGGGATGGTGGAGGGTGAGATATTCAGGTCAGTGCCTCATTTTAAAGGGGAGTAAACTGAGGCACAGAAAGTAAAGCCATCAGCCCTGGTCACACAGTTCAGCCAGAGCTGGGATTCTTGAGCCCAGTCACGCCTGCCTTCTTTCCGGGTCTTTATCCTCTGTTGACCCTGAGCAAATGCTTGAACTTGAACCCTTTAGATTAAATAAATGAATTAAGAATTGATAGACACCCTCTGATATTTTTTTCACAGTAAAAAGGGAAACTGTTTAATTTTTAAAGTCTAAATCAGAGGTTGGCAAACTGTGGCCCATGGCCAACCACCTGTTTCTGTAAATAACAATTTACAGTTTTATTGGAGCATGCCCATGCCTATTCATGCAGGCTACAGTAGCAGAGTTGAGTAGGTGGGCAAGAGACTGTCTAGCCTGCAAAGCTTAAAGTGTTTACTGTCTGGCCCTTTGCAGGAAAAGTTGGCCTACCCCTGTATTAAACTATACTATGATGCTTTAGCCTCCAAAATAAGATAGAACAGCAGGAGAGTTGGAATGCTGACTTGCTGCGATTTATTTTTATTTAACCAGGTGATAAAGAAATTTCGGGATGAAGAGCTTGAGCACCATGATATAGGCCTCGACCATGATGCAGAATTGGTAGGGACCTTCTGTTACTTACAGTGCTTTGGGGCACCATATCTGGAAAGTTGAGGGGGCAGGAGGTTTCTCTTTCCAGAAAAATAAATTATAAAGTGTGGCCAAAGGGAAGAAAACCAGTGACGTTGCTTTGACAAAAAAAAACCAAGCACGTACTTTGTTCTGGATTGGGAATCTTATTTCTTGCTTCATTCCTTATCTTTTTTCTCAGCAGCTTCTTTTCCCTTTCCTGTGAGAAATCGGATGAGTCCAATATTTTGGCAGTAGCAAGGCATTCTGATCTTTTGGATGACTTTTTTCCAAATTAAATTGTTTGTCAGATCATATTTCTTATCCAGGGGAGTCTAAACCCTGCCCTGCCAGCACTGCCAGCCCTGAAACTTAAACTAAAAATGAACATTTAAAGTGTTGCTTTTATTTGCTTGTTGTTCTTAACAGGCTCCAGCATATGCCGTCTTGAAGAGCGTTATCCAAGCGGGTTGCAAAGCAGCGATATATTTATCAGAAAGATTTTGAAGTACGTCCATTTATCCCTGTTTATAAAAGATGACAGTAATTTAAGAAGTGGCATTTACAGAGAAAGAAATGTACAATTATCATTATTTGAATTTTGTTAATAAACTACAAGGTTTTCTTTTTTATTTATTTATTTATTTTTTGAGACAGAGTTGCCCCAGACTAGAGTGCTGTGGCATCATAGCTCACAATAACATCTAACTCCTGGGCTCAAATGATCCTCCTGCCTCAGCCTCCCAAGTGCTGGGACTACAGGCTCCCACAACAACACCTGGTTAAAGAATCACGTTTTTTAGGTCTTTGCCTCCCATGCAGTGCCCTGCATTTGATCAGCACCTGACAACTGGGCAGGACTACTCTTGAGGGTCTGACTTTGGAGGACAGTGGACACCAGGATAGTTTGGATTAATCCTCCACAATCTATCTCTTTCTTCAATCAAGAGTGAGTTTAATTTTATGTGATTAGATGAATGTCTCTGATTATAATGGTGCTAAATTCAACATGGCTGAGAATAAGAGTAAAGACAGTTTTAGATTCCAAACTTCTGTGCCAGGTTACAAGAGATGTCTGTAGGGTAGTGGAGTGTTGGCTAACAACTAAAAATCCAAGCTCTGGTTGTTGCCTGTGTCTACCTTATTTTATAAGTGTGCATTTTCTGTCTTTCTCTCCTATATAAGACTGAGTTTATTGAGGGAAGAATATTGATTTCCAGTTCCTAGTACATGGTAGGTGCCCATTTAAAGGGAGGAAATTTAGAGGGAAGAAAGGAGGGTGGGAGAGAAGGGGAAGGAGGGAAGATGTTCTGAAGCAGCTGCAAATCTGGGAAGCAGCCCCTCGGCTGCCCTTCCCCCCCTTGTATCTCTTCATGCTGGAGGGTCTGGGGGTGTGGTCCTTGGCCCTGTTCTCAGTCTACCATCTTTCCTGGGCTATCTTCATTGTGGCTATTCCTTCACATTTGTATCTCCAGTCCAGACGTCTCATTTTCAGATATTTATAATTGCCGCCTATTTGTCCAAGAGGAAGCACTTGGACATTAAAGAGAACTTCCATCTCCACATACCCCAAGCTGGACTCCTCACCTTCTGCTCCACCCCTCAAACCTGCTTCCCTAGTGGGCTCCCCCTTTGCAGGTAATGGTGACTACCTCCTCCCAGTGCTCAGATCAGAATCACTGCAGTCTTCTGCCTCCAGCACACCTCTGTCTAGTGACCAGGACATCCTGTGGGTCACCATGCATAACCAATTCCCTCTCACCATGTCTACTACTGCCATTGGGGGTCCAGCCTCCCTCCAGTCTTGCCTGGATTATTTCAGAAGCCTCCTAACTACTATTCTTGTTTTGCCCCAGTTCTCCCACAATCTATTCTCAACCCAACCTCCAGAGTGATCCTTTGAACTCTAAGCTGGATCATGTCACTGCTTAGCTCAGACGTCTCCAGTGGCTATTTCTGGCTCCCTCCTTAGAAAGTCAGCATCTCAAAAATGGTTTACAGGACCTGGCCCTCTGTGACCTTTAATCCCTGTCCTTACTCTGCTCCAGCCACACCAGCCTCCCTGCTACTACTCAGAAAGGTCAGGTACACGCCCGCTTAAGGGCTTTGAGGTGGCTGCTCCTTCTGCTTGGAGCGTTCTTTCCCAGAGTTCCATGTCATCAAATCCCTCACCAACTCCGGAGATTTTGCTCAAATTAAGCAAGACCCATCCTGACCACCTTTTTCAGAATGGCAAACCCCACCCCACTCCACACTTCATCTCCTTTGCTTAGCTCTTCTACTACACTATTTAATGTACTCACTTGTTACGTTCTTATCTGTTTCTGCTAGAATGGAACATAAGCACCATGAAGGCAGGAACCTTTGTTATAATCACCAACTCATAATAAGTTTCAGTAAATAGTTGATGATAGAATTGAATGAAGGAATTGTTTCCCCTTCTTAGAAGTGATTTTCAAATAACTAATAATTTGAGATGAGTCCTGTGTGTATCTTGGGAAAATTCAGTGGACATTTATTGAAACGATGCCACAAGGAAACTTGTGAAGAAGGCCATTCCCTATGCTTCTTGTTGGTAATTTAAAACCTACAGGATATCTACATACAAAAGAAGGAGTTTGGGCCCCTACCTCACAGTACATACAAAAATTAACTCAAACTACACTAAAAATGTAAATGTTAGTGCTAAAACTTTAAAGCCCCGAGAAGAAAACACAGGGGTAAATTTGCAACCTCAGATTAGGCAGCAGTTTCTCAGATACGACACCAAAAGTTCAAGCCGCAAACAAACAAAAAGATAGTTTGGACCTTATCAAAATAAAAACTTGGCTTCCAAAGAATATGTCAAGAAAGTGAAAACGCACAGAATGGGAAAAACTTTACAAATCACATATCTGTTAAAGGACTTGTATTCAGAATACATAACTAACTTTCACAACTCAACCATAAAAAGACAAATAGCCCAATTAAAAAATAGGCAAGGGATTTGAGTTGACATTTCTCCCACAGAGATACATGGATGGCTAATAAGCATATACTCAACACAATTAGCCATTAGGGAAACCATAATAAGATGGAATTTAAAAGGTGGAAAATAATAAGTGTTGGTGAAGATGTGAAGAATTTAGAATCTTCATGCACTGCTGGTGAGAATGTAAAATGGTGCAGCTGCTTTGGAAACAGTCTGGCCGTTCCTCAGTTAGACACAGGTATCCTGGGATACAGCAACTTCTCTCAGATACCAATATTTCAACAGAAATGAAAACATGTCCCACCAAACACTACAGCATGAATGTGTATAGCAACATTATTGGGAATAACCCAAAGTGGAAGCAACCCATATATCCGTCAACTGATGAGCACATGTGGCATATCCCTACCGTGCAGTATTATTCAGCCATAAAAAAGGAGTGAAATATCGAAACAAGCTATAACATGGATGAACCACTGAAACATGCGTGGGTACAGAGTTTCAATATGAGAAGATGAAGAGAATTCTGGAGATGGATGGTGCTGGTCTTACAACCTTGGAAATATACTTAATGCCATTTCACAAGGGTTAAAATGGCGAATGTTACGTATGTTTTACCATAATTTTAAAAAATCATGCTAAGTGAAAGAAGCCAGACCCCAAAAGTCACTTATTTTATGAGTCCATTTACATGAAATATGCAGAATAAGCAAACCCACAGAGATAGAAGGTAGAGCAGTGGTCATCTGGGATTAAGGAGGGCTGGCGAGGATGGGGCGTAACTGCTGATGGATACAAGGTTTCTTTTTCAGGTGACAAAAATGTTCTAGAATTAGTGGTGATAGTTGTCCAACTTTGGAAATATGCTTAAACCCACTGGATCATATACTTTACAGTTTGGGATTTTATAGTATGTCACCTGTCTTAGTCTGTTCGTGCAGCTATAACAAAACACAGGGTTATTTATAAAGGCTGGGTAATTTACAGAGAGATCTATTTGGCTCATGATTCTGGTGGCTGGGAGTCCAGGATTAGGCAGCTGCATCTGGTAAGGGCCTCAGGCCACTTCCACTCATGGCAGGAAGTGGAGGGGCAGAGGACATGTCACAGATCACATAGACAGGACACAAAAGAGTGAAACTGAGGAAGCCAGATTTTGACTTTTTAATGACCCATTCTCTCAAGAATTAATCCATTCCCAAGAGAAAGAGAACTTACCCACCCCAGCCAGAAGGCATTAATTTATTTATGAGAGATCAGGGTCCACGACCCAAATACCTCTGGTGTTATAGCAACACAGAACAGACACAGACCATGAAATGTACCTCCCAACATTCACATAGGGGATTAAATTTCAACCAGAGTTTTGGTGGGGACAAACCACATTCAAATCATAGCATGGACCATACTAATAAGAAAAATGCAGGATATATAGCTTTATGCATATTCAATCCAGGCTGTTAAATGAGAAAATGACTTATTTTTTAACTTATCACCCTTTAAGACAGCCAACCATGTAGCCCTTCAGTTCGAGAAGCTTGCCACCAAAGCTTGGAGGGACGGTAGGAAAGCAGGTCATAACCGGACAGTGATAGAATGCAGTCCCAATGCAAGCCAGGTATGGGGGCGCAGGAGAGAGAGAGTCTGCTTATATAGTTTTATTCAAATACTAATCCAAGCTTTTAAATGAGAAAATGATTTTTTTCAAGTATTTATAAAAGTATAAGTATTACAGCCAGATCTTAGTGCTATGAAGGCGCTTTGTACAATCCTTATTAAAAGCCCCGGCTGTTTGTTTAGCATCCTCTTCGGAATTGATGGCTGATGTTTTATGCTTCTGAGAGCTTCCAGAACAAGGCCAGAGAGATTTTTTGAATCCTTCTTTGATTGTTTTTAATTCCATTACAGCTTGTCCTCGTGTATTAACAAGGTAATCTTGTCTTTCCCTTACTTCACTGATCTGACCTTTCAGGGGAAATGTGATTTTAAAATTGGACACCATCCAGAGATGATGCCAGAATGACAGAGAAGTATATTCTTGCCAGCAGTGTAGTTCCAAAGAGGGCATCTGAATTACAGTTCTTTGCATGTCTTTGATTCTCTCACTACTCAATGTGGGGTTCAGGGACTGACATCATGGGGGGGGGGGGTTGTTAGAAACCCCCTCCCATGATGGAATTTGGGAATCCTCTCTAGACCTACTCAATAAAAATCTGCATTTTAGCAAGTGGTGGTGGTTTTAATGTGTGTCTAACAAATTCCCTGATACTCCTCTGTTGATGGAGCTTAATTCTCCCTGCCTTGAGTGTGAGCTGTACTTCCTTTTTCCCACAGAACAAAAGCAAATTTAATCTGAATTGTTTGCAGATGCTGCTGATTTTCTTTTTCTTTACATTAAAAATGCATTAATGTGAACTATGTGCACGGTTTGTTTTCAGTAGTGGTGTTTGTGCAGGTTGCCTCTGGTACATTTCCTGGGTTTCTGACCACACTTAGACGTTCTCCTCCCCCTATGCCCCACAGATTGATTAAGAGTGGAAGATAAAAGTAGGACTCATATTTTGGGGAGAACTGGGAGTAACTCCTGATTTCTGGGTGTCATTGTTATCTCCTCCTTCAGGATTCTCCAATAGGTTGAGAGAGCTCGGGTTTTTTGTTTTTTTTT